ACAATAACATTTGTATTCTTATAATGTCCTTTTTATAATTCATGGTTGACTTTGCTTTAATGTTGTTGTTTTTTCGTTATACTTTTAACAAAAAGACATGCAGATTCAAAGTTGTATGAAGTCATATAATGGTGATCGCTATGATTAAGGATCATTGTGACACGTTGGTTTTGGTACAGATCTGTTCCTTACAACTCGATGCTTCATAGCAACACGTCTTTTCGTTTACATTAAAATAGCAGAGTTTTCAGTCTTTTTAACCATTTAAATATACATTCTTTTAAGGTAGATCGGGTGTTTAAATTTTCGCGCCTTCTGCGCAACATGCTGCGCATAGTGTTGTAAACTGTCGTAAAATTTTATGAAAGTAATATTTTAACTTTTTTTTTTATATCTGTGAAAATTATCAGAAACGCTTTTAAAATCGTATTTTATAAACTCAATTATCAAACAAATAATCTCATTTCAGTTTGATTGCTGCAAATTGTTTACTTCCGTCATGGCGACCTGCACAACATGGTGAACAATGGAAAAAAATGAAAAAGAAACTGTGATCGTGATAAAGTGGACTGCTTTTTATAAATACTGTGATGTAGATCTGTAAATTAACAATATGATCTTCGTCCTGGTGGCTTATGAAGCAATCCCACACAGATTCTGCACAAAAAGTAGACGACAGAAAAAATGGGAGGTAAACAAGTTATTTTTTTGTGTGTTGCTGCTTGCCGTAAGTACAATTTATATCGTATCGTCTGCAGTAATCTTACAAATGATGGCCGAAAGATCTCAATCAGGAAGATTCAAAAAAGCAAACACGTTCTCTAGGGCAAATAATTTTATTAACACCAACGTCAAAGACTCACTTTCAGACCCCCCCCCCCCCCCCCCCCCCACTTCTTATCATAATGAAGACGCAGATTCTGAGATGCCTTCTGTACATGTAGAGGTTCATGTCAATCTTGACCACACATATACCTTACCGCTGGTACTAGACAATGACCCTTTGGCAATTTCTTCTGAGATTGAAGATTAAACCTTTAGGATTTTCAGGCTTGATGTATGTCCAATGTCCTGAATGTGGTGGTGTGACAAAAATCAAGTTGGGGAAAACTCATCATAGTAGAAATAGTAAAAGAGGATGTGGAACTTTTGACATTAATACAAAAGCTGCAACAGGTGCACTTTTTATGTAGTTGTATTTACGAATAAAAACCTTTGTAGACTTTTTTTTTTCAGTCTCAAAATATATATATAATACATGTACATGTACATGTAGAGCTCTGCAATGCATGTACATTGTTGAAAAGTATAGGTAAACTATTTGTATTTGGGCAAAACGGATTGAAATGTTTGCAGAGCCTTGCATTTCCCAAGTTTCTAAGCCTCATACAAATGTTACCAATATTTTTTCAACACAGATGTATAGTAAATCAGTTATTCTACATGTACAGTCAGGGGTGCTACTTAAACAAGTGATTTCATCATCACTTATTTCAGTGATTTGATAAATTCAGTTATCACCTATTTAAGTGATTTTAGTGTTTTCTTTGATCTTCAAATGCTAATTTCATTGATTTTCCATATTTTCACAATCTTTTCTATAATTTTCCTACATAAATCAATTATCCCTTTTTCTTTGTATATTAATTTCACCAGTGCGCTTGGGCAGTAAGTTAGTGCGCTAAAGCTTTTTAAAGTACCCTTGGGAATTTTTCTGTAATCAAAATTCATTAACTACTCTTACTATCAGACAAAGATCAACAATATTAGGTAACCTGATTGGTTTTCTTTAGAGTTAGAATGATCTACTTCAAGGTTATGACCTGATCTACAAACTATTTCAGTTTTTGCATATTTAAAAAAAACTGTAAAAGTGTCAGGCGTATCAAGCAAAAGACAATTTCTGCATGTACATAGTTGTTTTTTCAATGGAATTGTTGTCTTTTTACCATTAAAAAAATCAAGCTTGTGGGAAAAATATCAAGAAAATGTTATAAACACTTATTAAAGTGATTACATTTTAACTTCTAAAATTACTTGTTTCAGTGATTTTAAAAAGTCTGTGTGAAAACTTTTAATATTTCACAGCCAAAATCACTCGAGGAAGTGATTCTGAAATCACTTGTTTAAGTAGTACCCCTGACTGATGTACAGTGAAATTTTGATTTTAAAAATGTGCTCATGGATGTTTAAGGGTAGGAAGTGACTTTAAAAATATTTCTCAATCAGCAAACTTTTTTCAAATACATTGTTGTAACTTAATATACATCCTACCAATGTTGTATTATTAGAAATGTGAATGCATTTTTCTGTAATTCAGTCCTCCCTTCCTTCCCTCTCACATCCAGTTTAATTCACAAATAAGTAATATCCTTTGAATAAAGTCATGACATAAAGTATTGACTAGTTTTATATTTATTCATGTCAGATTATAATTGAAAATTAATATTCACTTAAAATAGTAAATAAAAATTTTAAATGCATGTCATGCATGTAGCCTATGATACCAAATAAATTTCTAGATTTCTAAACATACACATGTATATTTTGAGTTTAATCTTTGTTAAATAAAATAGTGAGTCACAAATTGGTTTATTATGTTATGTATATACATGTAGTTGCAATCATTTACAAATCTGTGAATTCTGTTGATTACATTTTAATTTTATAGGAATGCTCCATGCTGGTATTGGGGAAACCCAGCTTAACAATCTGCTTTCAACGATGAATGTACACTGTATAGACACTAAATCTTTGAAAACCAGAGAACATGAAGTTGGCCAAGTATTGGAGAATCATGCAAAAGAATCTGAGCATAAATACTTACTAGAAGAAGCAATTGGGTGTTTAAATATTAACACAGGTTTGAAAAAAAACAAATTAGTATAATCATAATAATCATTTATTGGTCTTACAGTCTGTATAATTGTTTGTCTGACCAAAAAAGAAATTTGAAATTTTCTACTATATGTTCACCTAAAAACTCAAAATATTTCTGTCTGACATTTTGTCGGTCAGACAGAGTTTGGGTTTGTAACAACAAACATGCAAGGAACTATTTCTTCTGTTTAGCACCAAAACCAACAAAAAAATGTATGGAACAAATTCCTATTATATATTGACCTATATCACATATGTAGTATTCCCATTTTGCACTAGTGCAATATAGCTTAAAAATTAATTGCATCTATTATCAACAACAAAACAAAAATAACTTTTATTTTATAAAGCTTGCGATGAAAAATTTTGTGCAAAATGAGATTCTTCTTTGGACAATATTCCGCAATAATCCGGCAAAACCACTATAATACATGTACCATTGATCTCTTTTGTAAAATTTCATAATTTAGTCCTTGTTTATTTTCCAGTTATGTACATAAGTGGTTATCATATGAGTAACCACATCAAAATTTATAAGGAAATTCTGTTCACTCTAAGTACCGTGATAAGTTAAAGGGGACATAATTGGGTATATGTTCAAATGTACAGATTGCACACAAGAACACAGTTTTAATAATACACCGAAGAATTAGTTTGAGATCACTAAACCTACCCTCATTAAAAATTTGTGAAACATTACCAGTTACACATATTTCAAGCATTAACATATTGATACAAATGTACAGGATAATTTTCAAATACAGTTATTAGTCAAATTACACAGATGCAATCTTTACTGTCATGGTAACAATTTGAATATATAAACAATATAAATGAAAGCTTTATTTTTATACAATAGAAAATGAAGAAGGAAAAGGAATCACAGTATCAACAGACACCTGCTGGCAAAAGAAGGGTTCTGGAAGGGCATATAACAGTTTGTCAGGCATGCCTTTAACTGAGTTTAATCCAACAAGAACAAAGTTCAACAAATAATCAGATATTTTATTTTATTTTATTTTAAAAACTACTTTTCCGTTAAGGTAGTTCAGGGATATAGAATAAAAAAGACAGAATTTTCTTATACTTGGCCAAAATGAAGCTTTTACTATCCTTTTTACAAAAAATTGATAAAAAGTATGGGTCACCATACTATTTTTCAAGGTACTAGTTGTTCAAAATTGACAAAATTTGCTTAGATTGTTCGTGAAAAAATACATTTTTGTGCATACAAAGAAATCTATGAGACAGAATTTTGAAATAAAATATGAGAAGATAGGTTTTATAATATATTTTAAGAAAATAAAAAGAAAAAATGGTGTCACCGAACTTGTTTTCTTGCTACAAGTAAAAAATGAAAATTTCCCTATATGTCCAGTATAAATTTTGTACAAAAAGAGGTATTTCCCCTTTAATGGCTTATTTGAAAAATTAGTTCTATAAGCACAGCACATATATTTGGTATTTGTTAAAACATTTTTGATAATGTCAATAAATGGCAAATCTGTCTCCAAATTTGCAGATTTGGGCAAAGAACTAGACCCATTATTTACTGTGATTGTACAATTCAAGATGGCGGTATACTCCTGAACTTCCTTAAGCTAGAAATATTAGGTCACATAGTCCTATTTATTTTTTAATTTCACATACATACATCCTTAACATTATCATTCTTAACTGTCATACAAAGGTCTTTTTTAGATCTGATAATTTCTCTGCAAATATGTTAGTTAAACTGAATTTTCATGAAACCTTTATATGATAGAGGAGTTTGAAGATAAATTTTGGTTCTTAAATCCTTATAATTTATAATAATGACACTTGTTTCCATGCAAAGCATATTATGTTGATATGCACAAAGACAAAACATTTTTATTCAGATTATTGCAAGGGAAGATAATGTTGTGAAATTTTTGAAAGGGGAGATAATTCAACTTAAAGGTTTTAACTGCTTTTGAAGAAAAATATAAAGCTTGGACAATAAAAAACAGAATAGACCAGGAGGAGGGTGTATTCCTCTGTGAGCTTGATCAAAATAATTATAGTTTGATCTAATGCAGATATTGCTTATCTCTAACAATATTACAATATGGGACATTCATGTCCTTTAAACTCAAAATTTTATTTAAGCTAGTTTAAATTGAAATAAATAATTTCAGGTGTATCAACATTGATTGGTAAAAATACAGGAGGAGTTGTCCATCATGCAATAAGATGTCAGCAATGCAGAATCTGTGACAGTGCAACAAAAAGGGGGATTCAGCCCAAAGAGCACAAATGTAAGAAAAATTGGACAGGCTCAGCAAAGGCTATGGAGCCAGATATGCTAGTTCAGATGGTAATGGATGTGAAGAACAAAGGGATCAACATAGATGAAATTGCAGGTGAGGATGATACGACCGGATTCGACAGGCTGAAAAAGATATATCCTGAATCAAAGATGATTAAAACCAGTGACAGAAATCATGTAAAAAAGAATGTCATTAAAAAGTTATATGCAATTAAAAGCCAACATAAGCAGCTCTCTGACATGGTTATGAATTCTATATTGAAGAATTTTTCATTCATGATAGATCAAAACAAAGGAGATGTTGAAGGAATGGAAAATGGCCTAAAAGCTATAGTAGAGCACATGTATGGGGACCACGCCCATTGTAATAGATCATGGTGTGGATTTCTTAAAGACGGAGAAAAATATAAGCACAGTAATTTACCTCATGGAAAAGACTTGACATCTGATTCATTACGGACAGACCTAGAGAAGATATTTTTGGGGAATGACTCAGTCAATCCAAGGAAACTTGCATACCTGTCAAGCTCACAAGCAAATGAAAACTTTAACAACATGCTTGCTGCAAAAGCTCCAAAAGCGAAGCACTACTCCTCATCAGCAAGCTTGGGCTACAGGGTAGATTCTTCTATCTTGCAAAAGAATGAAGGATATGCCTATGTTAGTGAGGTATAACTATATGCACCCTTCATTAGCTCTTTAAAAAATTTAAAAGATAGATGATCAATGTAAAATACAGTTATTTTAGCAGTTTTTGGCTTTTCATCTTAAACTGCTGTAATTTAGAAATTTTTGGGTGCATTTATTAATGTGATTTTTGAGAAATAAACAATAATGCAAGATTAATAACTGAGATTTATTGCAGTGACTCAGGATTTCCAGGTGACCAATTAATTTAAGCTTCTTGAAGCTTGTTATAATTTTCATTCATTGAAAAAAACTCCAAACATTCAGTATGGAGATAATTATTTGTATGGTCTGAGAAAGAACATTTTTTTTTATATTAAGTGGAAAAAATTTAGGGAGATAAATCAACAAATATATGCAAGATAAATCAACTTGATATTGAATGTTATATATACATCAGTTTCTACAACTTGTTGCTTTATTTATAACTACATCTAAGTTTATATGCTATTTCTCTATTCATATCTGATTCAGTATGAAAATACACATTTCAAAACTTTGTCTTATTTTCTTTATTTCATATATATATATATCTTTGAAAGTTCATGCATCCATGGGACTGTCTCCTGGAGAGGAAACAATAAAAAGAAGCTCCAAAATAAATATGAAAAGGAAAAAAAACCAAAGAAGCCAAGAGAAGACGTTTCTTCTTAAAGCAGACAAGAACCTCTAAGACTGCTAGTAAAGAAATAAGGGAAGGCAAAACTTACGAAAGTGAAATAGGTATATGTTAGTATTAAAAAGCCACCAATAATGTTTTATGAAATGTAATATTTAAATAAATCTTACTTAATGAAACATGTCATAACATCAAGGGCAGAATCAGGCAGGTGGTGAGGTGGGCTTGTGCCTCCCTAAAATTTGCAAAGAATGGCATGGGTTGTCAAAAGCTTAATTTCGATAATTTTACCTTAATAAATCTGTGCCCCCCCCCCCTCCCCTCTGCTTGTAATTTTTATTTAGTTTGCACCCTCCCCCCCCCCCTTTTGCCCTGAAATATTTCATTTAGTAAGATTTATTTATACTGTCCCCCCTTTTGCCCTGAACCTAAAATATTTCATTTAGTAAGATTTATTTATACTGTTATTATGAACTTTAAAATTATATTGGGACTTTCCTTATCTATAGATTTTATAATGTTAAAATAACCAATCTTCATATTTCAATATATATGCCTAGATACGATGAGATCTTCAGTTTCTGAAAAAAAATGACCACAACTATGCGAAACCAATACAAATGTTTTATACTATTTTATGTTATAAATAAATATTAAAAGAATGTTGTCTTGTGTGGGGAAAAAATTATGCATGTATGTAAATATTCTAGAGGCACTCCCACTTCTGGTTCTTCTTTGTGATTACTACAGTTTGTGAGAATTTGTTATTTAAACGTATTAAGTTCATCAAAATTGTTGTTTCAAGATTAAATTAGATAGATATAAGGAGACGTGGTATGGGTGCCAATGATAAAAGAGGATTACACATTCTGGTTCTTCTTTGTGATTACTACAGTTTGTGAGAATTTGTTATTTAAACGTATTAAGTTCATCAAAATTGTTGTTTCAAGATTAAATTAGATAGATATAAGGAGACGTGGTATGGGTGCCAATGATAAAAGAGGTTAATCCTTCAATAATTTATGATCAAATTATAGGATTCAAATCTGAAGTTACAGACAAAGAGTCCCAGGAGATTCCTGAAATACAAGACATCACAAAGATCCCTTTGAATGAACAAGAGTCAAAGCACCAGTAGTAATTTTTGATTTAGAGACAACTGGCCTCAGTAAGTGTAAAATTAACGTCTAACGTTTTAATCTCAGTTTAATTTTGTGATGCAAGTCACTTGATGTGAAAAATGAAAATTGAACTTTGACATGAATAATGTCTGCATGGTAAAAAATAATCAAAAAAATAAGTAAGACGAAGTAGTTAAAAAAAAGTCCACAAGTTAAAAAATGAAGTTTTAAAAAAAATGTTTTGCTCACAGTACACCAACAAACTAGAGGCTCTAAAGAGCCTGTGTCGCTCACCTTGGTCTATGTGCATATTAAACAAAGGACACAGATGGATTCATGACAAAATTGTGTTTTGGTGATGGTGATGTGTTTGTAGATCTTACTTTACTGAACATTCTTGCTCCTTACTATTATCTCTATCTATAATGAACTTGGCCTGGTAGTTACAGTGGAAAATATTTTGTAAAAATTTACAAAAATTTACAAAATTTATGAAAATTGTAAAAAATTGACTATAAAGGGCAATAACTCCTTAAGGGGTCAATTGACAGTTTTGGTCATGCTGACTTATTTGTAGATCAAACTTTGCTGTACATTATTGCTGTTTACAGTTTATCTCTATTTATAATAATATTCAAGATAATAACCAAAAGCTGCAAAGTTTTCTTAAAATTACCAATTCAGGGGCAGCAACCCAACAACGTGTTGCCTGATTGGTCTGAAAATTTCAGGGCAGATAGATCTTGACCTAATGAACAATTTTATCCTCATCAGATTTGCTCTAAATGCTTTGGTTTCAGAGATATGAACCAAAAACTGCATTTTACCCTATGTACTATTTTTTAGCCATGTCGGCCATCTTGGTTTCGCTGGCGGGGTCATCAGACACATTTTTTAAACTAGATACCCTAATGATGATTGTGGACAAGTTTGGTTAAATTTGTCTTAGTAGTTTCAGAGGAGAAGATTTTTGTAAAAGATTACAAAAATTTACGAAAAATGGTTAAAAATTGACTATAAAGGGCAATAACTCCTTCAGGGTTCAACTGACCATTTTGGTCAAGTTGACTTATTTGTAGATCTTACTTTGCTGAACATTATTGCTGTTTACAGTTTATCTCTATCTATAATAATATTCAAGATAATAACCAAAAACGGCAAAATTTCCTTAAAATTACCAATTCAGGGGCAGCAACCCAACAATGGGTTGTCTGATTCATCTGAAAATTTCAGGGCAGATAGATCTTGACCTGATAAACAACTTTACCCCAGTCAGATTTGCTCTAAATGCTTTGGTTTCAGAGATATAAGCCAAAATCTACATTTTACCCCTATGTTCTATTTTTAGCCATGGTGGCCATCTTGGTTGGTTGGCCGGGTCACCGGACACATTTTTGTCGAGCCTTCGACTTTAGTCGAAAAAGCGAGACATATATAGCGATCCTACATTCCGTCGGCGTCGTCGTCGTCGTTGTCGTCGGCGGCGTCCACAAATATTCACTCTGTGGTTAAAGTTTTTGAAATTTTAATAACTTTCTTAAACTATCCTGGATTTCTACCAAACTTGGACAGAAGCTTATTTATGATCATAAGATAGTACCCAGAAGTAAATTTTGTAAAAATAAAATTCCATTTTTTCCGTATTTTACTTATAAATGGACTTAGTTTTTCTGCCGGGAAATATTACATTCACTCTGTGGTTAAAGTTTTTAAAATTTTAATAACTTTCTTAAACTATCCTGGGTTTCTACCAAACTTGGACAGAAGCTTGTTTATGATCATAAGATAGTATCCAGAAGTAAATTTTGTAAAAAAATAAATCCATTTTTTCCTTATTTTACTTTTAAATGGACTTAGATTTTCTGCCAGGAAACAACACATTCACTCTGTGGTTAAAGTTTTTAAAATTTTAATAACTTTCTTATACTATTTTGGATTTGTACCAAACTTGGACAGAAGCTTGTTTATGATCAAAAGCTAGTATCTAGAAGGAAATTTTGTAAAAAAATAAATCCATTTTTTCCGTATTTTACTTTTAAATGGACTTAGATTTTCTGTCAGGAAACAACACTTTCACTCTGTGGTTAAAGTTTTTAAAATTTTAATAACTTTCTTATACTATTTTGGATTTGTACCAAACTTGGACAGAAGCTTGTTTATGATCAAATGCTAGTATCTAGAAGGAAATTTTGTTTTCTTCCAGTTAACATTACATTCAGTCTGCAGTTAAAGTTTTTAAACATTTATTAGATTCATAAACTATCCTGGATTTTTACCAAACTTGGACAGAAGCTTCTTACAATCAAAAGATAGTACCAAGAGGAATATTTTTATTGATTTACTTCCTCATTTTTGTTGAGCCTGCGATAAACAGAAAAAGTAGGCGAGACACTGGGTTCCGCGGAACCCTTACGAATTTTTTAAACTAGATACCCCAATGATGATTGTGGCCAAGTTTGGTCAAATTTGGTCTAGTAGTTTCAGAGGAGAAGATTTTTGTAAAAGTTAACGACGACGACGGACGCCAAGTGATGAGAAAAGCTCACTTGGCCCTTTGGGCCAGGTGAGCTTAAAATTGTAATCAGCTCATAGCGATTTGTTTTATTTTTAATACAACAGCAATGTTTGAATCACAAATTTGCACACATTTAAATAGCAACTTTTTAAGTTTATTGTCTGATGTCAATTTGTTTGTCCAGAACAGATTTAGTGTCAAACATCCATTTTTTGTTGTTCAGTTGCTGTCTCTTTCATACATAGCCGATTTCCATTATATATTTATTATATTTTATATTCACCTTGACATGCGTGTGTCAATAATAATTGAATGCAAGATTGTGTGGCTTTATAAGTGTGTAAATGTGTATGTATGAAGCCAGATAAAAGTTGTTTTGATATTTCACTTATACTCCTTGTCATCAAAGATGCATTTTTTTTATTGTTCTATTGTAGGTAGGAAATCTGACATAACCCAATTAGCAGCCTATTCAGAAACTCTGAATTTTAGCACTTACATTTTTCCATCCCAGGCAATATCCAAAGAAGCATCAGAGGTCACACAAATTTTTGTGAATGGTAATCAGATGTTTCACAACAGCACTGCAGTTCAATACAAGTTGGCCCATGAAGCATTGACGGACTTTATTATATTTTTATCAAGTTTTCCTAGTAAATGTATTCTTGTAGGTCACAACATCAAACGCTTTGATACTCATGTGTTATATAACCAATTGCATATTCATAACATGTGGAATGAATTTTGCTTACATGTTTGTGCTTTTTGTGACACCTTAGATTTATTTAAAAGTGTTGTTCCTGGTATGTCTTCATACAGCCAAACATCTCTTGTAAGAGAGCTCTTAGGCGATACTTATGATGCTCACAATGCTATACATGACACCAAAGTTTTATACAAACTTGTAATTGAAAGAGGGAATTTTAAGGATAATGTGGTAGAATTTTCATTACCTGTTAGTTATCCTTATGATTCACATGTTATCCAAGAAAACTTGAACAGTTTTTCTCATGCTATAAATTGTGAAGCTATTTCAAAATCTTGTGCACTGAAGGCATCAAAATCTAACCTTAAATTGTCTCACTTTAAGTTAGCAGTACATCGAGATGGTATAGATGGACTTAAAGCTTTACTTGCTGAAAAGTCTAACAAGGGAAGTGTGAGAGTAACTAAATGTACAAGAGTTATTCAAAAACTGTTTGATTTTCTTCATGAAGATTGAAATAGTATGCAATAATTAGGTCATGGAAAATTACCTTGTTCTCAAGTTCACTAAATGATACAGGGGGAAGGAATTTTTTTATGCTCCAATATCAAAAAGGGAAAGGGCATTTAGATTTCCCCTTGTCCGTCCATATGTCCTGGTATTGGTTAGTTTTTTACCTGCGTTGTAAAAAGCATCATTTATATTTATCCTTATACATTTGTATGTAATGATATTGGTTAAGTTTATACTGCTGGAGTTCAATTTTTTCTTGGCTTTTATGACAGAGAATGCAAATGATTTTAATATTTGTTCTGGGAATGATTATTTATGCTATGGAATGCATATTACCTCAATCAATTGAATGGAGAGGCAGGTTCAGAACATAAAGTTAACATTAGGAAGGGGCTGAGAACCAAGAAATAAATGTTATTTGGTTTAAATAAAAAGAGTAATGATGATGTAATTTTTAATGACTGTTTATAATATAAAAAAAAAACTATGCTTTGTATTTGTTGGAAAATGTCAAATATATCCTCATTTCCTGATGAGAAAATAAATAATCATACATAGTACAAATTTGTTGCCAATTATTTCATTCAAGAAACACACAAAATGAGTGTGACATGTGTGATCGGATCAACAATATCAAATTCCTTCCACACCGGCTGCAGGATTCATATCCAAACTTATCCAGTGTACTATAGTCTGTAGCTGTTACTCAAGAAATTAACTGATCACAGAAAATTATACTTATTTTTCATTTCAAATCTTTCTATTCAATATGGATCTTAAGTCCCCCTTTTTCATGTTTTTGATGTTGTTAAAGGAGTGATAAAGATTGTTCAGAAATCGTCTACTAATTGTATAAAAAACTGGATAAGTGCACTGTAAAACCTGGAATTACCCACAAATTGCGCATACAAATGTCATTACACAGTCCGGAGTAAGATGGTTGTCTTCGGTTTTGACTATGCATCAACTTTTTCCCATAAAAGGACAAACCAAAAATTGTTTTTATGAAAATACAATACAAGTTCTAGCTTCAAATGTGAAAATAAATGTGGATAGTGTCCACATGTGGACACATGATGCCCCCGCTTGCATATCATATAGTTATAAAGGGACATAACTGAAGAACGGTAAAAGTGACGCTACCCAAATTTGAACTTGATCTGAGTTTTGTGGTAGTAAGCATTGTGTGTAAGTCTCATAACATTTGGTTGAGGCTAACTAAAGTAGAGAACAGAAACTAAAAATTCAGCAATTTTTCTATTTGTAAACACGCATAACTCTAGAACGGTTGTGTATAAGTTTTATAACATTTGGTTGAGACAAACTAAAGTTAGAGAATGGAAACTAAAATTCAGCAATTTTTATGTTTATAAAGGGACATAACTCAAGAATGGTAAAAGTGTTGCCATCAAATTTCATACTTAATCTGTATTGTGTAGTAATAAGCATTGTGTATAAGTTTCATAACATTTGGTTGAGGCAAACTAAAGTTAGAAAACGGAAACAAAAAATTTGTACTTGATCTTAGTTTTGTGGTAATGAATATTGTGTATAGGTTTCATAATGTTTGGTTGGGGCAAACTTAAGTTACAGAATGGAAACTAAAAATTTTGCAATCTTTCGATTTATAAAGGGGCATAACTCAATAATGATTAAAATGACACTACCCAAATTCAACTTGATCTGTGTTTTATAAGTGGAAGTCAAAATTAAACATTGCATTGTATAAAGCATTGATTGTAGTTGATTCAACTATAATCATGGACAAAGGAAGATAACTCCAATTTTAATAAAATTACTTGATATTTAGAAGAAAATAAAAATTTTGCAATTTTTCCATTTCTAAAGGGGCATAACTCTAGAACGGTAAAAGTGACGCCACCAAAATTCAAACTTGATCTATGTTTTGTGGTAATAAGCATTGTGTATAAGTTTCATAACATTTGGTTCAGGCAAACTAAAGCTAGAGAACGGAAACCAATTTCGGGACGTACGTACGTACGTACGTACAGACGGACAAGGGTAAAACTTAATGCCCCCTCCGCTACGGCGGGGGCATAAATATCAATCATTGACCTTGGGTTCAAAGGTCAAGTCGCATTGCAGTCCTTATAGCACATGACCTACCCTCCTTTCATTTTACACGTACTTAACAAACTTCATATTAATCTGTATAACAATGAAAACAAAATTTTTGACATCCAATCAATCATGCATACTTGAAATATCAATTATTTAACCTTGAAGCAAAAGGTCAAGGCTAAATTGCTAGCTGTCATGATGGTATACAACAAGTTGTCCCATGGTTTTACAAAAACATACAATACATCATCCATTTATCTCAAAAGACAAAAATGTTACGGCTTGGACAATTAACTACAGGTTTATAATATAACACTTAGGCAAGTTTCAATAATTTGACCTTGAGGTCAAAGGTCAAGTGAAAAATGCGGTCTTTGTGGTACACAACTCGCCCTCTCAATATTAAACACTAACATACCAAATACCATTGATGTATCTAAAGAAACAAATTAAAATCTGAACAAGAAAAAAAGTAAATTTCCAAATTTATTCAATTTATGAATTTAAAGTTAACTCCCTTTTTTATCTATTTTCTTGTCTTATTTGATAATTAACAATAGAACCAACATCGGAAACGTTGCGGTATTTCCGTTTCTTTTTCAACAGATTCTGGATTATTCCTAGAGTTCTTTTGGGAAACTTACCGCATATCAATCAGACAGACTTGTATCTGTACAAAGATCCATAATAAATCGAATTTGAATGTTTTGTTATCCGCCGACATACGGGCTTCTTTAAAACTAGTAATCTCACTTTCATGTGTATAATCTTCAGGAAATTTAACTTAAAATCGTTCTTCTTATTTCATTAAATGTGTTTTTAAAACTTAGATACAAAGTCCACTCGTAGATGAGGGTCTGCGTGGGGTTTTAAAGAACCAACAAAATGTGCAGAAAAAAATAGCAAACAAATTATGAATAAAGAAAAATATGGCAAAAAAGTAAAAAATAGAAAATAATGGGGCACTCAAATTTAAAGAAAATGAGTCACTCAAGTATGAAGAATATAGACCCTTTTAGTTACCTTTTTATAAAAAAAATACAAAACAACTTTCAAGGAATAAGAAATAAGCATTGTATGACATAAAAAATATTAAACGCAGACAATTAACAAAAAAATACATCTTTTAGTTTTAAATCATACCTTTTAATAAATAATTTCAAAAATGAACTCGCAGAACAACTCTTCTTTATCATATATTTCAATAATTTTATTAGTGACAAACTTACTGCCAAAAGAAAAAGAAGTGACACCGAAATGAAGCTGAATTTTTAATAATGACAATTGACATTTATTTTTCTTATTCAAAATTATAAAATCATTCTACATAGAATGTGTCATTTACAACCGCATATCTTCATAAAGTACCTACATGTTACACTGAGGTATTGTGCAAAATTGACACAACTTTTGTTTTATATATACAATAACATGCATGATGGCTTACCATCACAAAAGAGTAAAAAAAGGAAAATGATACAATGAGAAGAAAAAAGAGAAATCAACTTCACATCACCAGATCTATTAGCAAGAAGTGAGAAATTTGTATTGTAACGCGATGCAGTAAACATGGTGAAGAAACAATGAAAAATGATTATTTCTAGCAACGTTTACCTTGTCACACAAATTTAAACCAATGTTTTTATGTTATCACCTTCTACATTCACAGTAGCCACTTGCAAACCCATTGCTCAAAGGTCATGCATCCCAATGAGATATGATGTATATTGAATTTTACAACCTTCAATCAGAGTTTAAAGTCTGAAGCAAGAAAATAAGACACTTTCATGACCACTGTTAGAGTGTTTCTACTCTATGTATATAGACGCTGAAACTGTAACACTTATATGACTTAAGCCCATTTCTATACTGTTTTATGGTGTGATGTTTTTCGGATGTTTATAAAAATTAGATGTGGTGTAATTGCAAATGAGACAACTTTATGTATATGCCTGTCCCAAGTCAGGAGCCTGTAATTCAGTGGCTGTCGTTTGTTGCTGTGTTACATGATATGTGTTTTTCGTTCATTTTTTGTACATCAATTAGGCCGTTAGTTTTCTCCTTTAAATTGTTTTAGATTTGTAATTTTGGGGCCTTTTATAGCTGACTGTGCAGTATGGACTTTGCTCATTGTTGAAGGCCGTACGATGACATATAGCTGTAAATTTCTGTGTCATTTGATTTCTTATGGAGAGTTGTTGGATTGGCAATCATACGACATCTTCTTTTAAATTTTTATCAACCGAAGATCAAATGAAGTGGATATAAACAATTATAGGCAACCGTATAGCCTTCTCAAAAGAAAAAAAACCCATACAGTATAGTTGGATATAAAAGGCCTTGAAATTACAAATGTAAAACAATTCAAACGAGAAAACTAAAGGCCTCGACATGTTTGTTTGTTTGTGTTTTTTTTTTTTTTTTTAGCAGTCGTCAGTTAATTTTACTTTTTTTCTGTACGTTTTAAGAAGACAACTGTTATAAGCTATTTGAGACATTGAATAGTTGCCCTTCGAAAGCATAGAACTGTTCAAGTTTTCACTAGCTTCAATAGTGTTATTGTCTATTGTATTGGTGTGTCTGGAATGTCTCCAAGGCATCCATATTTAATAGTATCGTATATCACCTTCCACATTTTCCATATAAATTGAAATTACTAGTGGCACTTCCTTTATACAAGGTGATATGATGTGCCGCTGGAATTGGTCACCTTTTCAAGCTTGAAAATATGTGTAATGGTCGGGAAAATTTCAGAAAAATATGACTCTGAAATTTTCTAAAGGAATTTAAATTAAATTTTGCTATTTTATATTTTAGCCGGAAAAATTGTAGTGACCCTATCCTTTCTTATAATATTCTCAATAATCCATACAAAATGTGTCATTTTGTCACAATCTGTAGCTTCAGAAAATGCTCGATAACCTATCATTTTTTATTATATTTTTGAACATATCACAATATATACTACATTTAAGCAAAGTATGCAGTGGCGGATCCAGAACTTTTCATAAGGGGGGATGGGGAGCACTGGCTGACCTGTTAAGGGGGCCCGCTCCAGTCATGCTTCAGTGATTCCCTATATGATCAACCAAATTTTTCCCACAAAGCTTTATCAAACCCCTAATCTGTATGACGTCATATCAAACCTATAATATGTATGACGTCATTTTAAACCTCCTTATCTGTATGACGTCATGTCACATAAAAAAACATCTACGTAAGGTATATGTATATCATAAAGTGTATATGATATAGCTTTTTCAATATCACACACCGTATCAACCCTCAACCAA